CCCCCCAACATATCTTCTCTCCCATCACCAGGGCAGAGAGGACAGCAATGAAAATCTTGCTCTGAGACCCCTTCCCCAAAGGGCAATTCATTGCGAATCACATCATATCAACAAACAGTTAAAAATCCCTCCCCAGACACTGCCTAACAAGTAATAAGCAAGATTACAGAAACCCTTAGAAGGTATTATTTCATCCCACAAGGAACAAAGTATTTTCTTAGTTAAAAAGAGAAATGGCCACATGCTTAATGTCAGGGTTTGACCCAGAAGAGAGGAAACCTGCAAGCTTTCCAGCACCCAGCAACCACTGTTACACAGCCACCTCTGGGCTAGAGCACACCCAGCTATCCAGAGTGACACCGTATGGGCCTGGCAGTAAGCTGCTCACATGCCCAGCGACAAGGCATGAAGTTGTAGCAAGTAAAAAGCAAAGGACAAGTTTGCTTGGGAGTGAAAAAAGGAAGTTGTTTTCACCTGCGTGAGCATAAACATGAGCAAAAGATGTCAGGGGCTCCAAGAGGGAGGGGAGGAAAGGAAAGAGAGGGGTGGAGCCATGAGGGGAACTGAGGCTCAGCCAGAGGGGCTCTTGGGCCAAATACTGCCAGCTGCTTCCCTAACCTCAGACCACCTTTGGGTGCTGCCTGGCTCCAGCACAGAATTAGTTAGTTAAGACATGGTGCTCTCTCCATGCCAGAGAGGGGCACAGTGGGCCTAGCCAGAATGAGCAAGCAGAGCATCTAACACCCAGCAGCATCCTAGCCCCATGGTAAGCCATGGTCTTACCTCGCCAGTGCCCAGCATCCTCAGTGGTTCACAGTGATGCCCAGCTTGATTTTCTCTTCGTTTTCTACGTCATAGACACCTCTTTTGTGGCACCTATGAGGCCAAGCAAAGAGATGTTCAGAGCACAGAGTGGCCCCTGCCACCATCCCCTGAGTGCAGCCCTCCTGGGGGGTGGCTTTGACAGCGCAGCCTCCATCCTGCTCACCTCAGCATCAGCAGAGCAGCAATGATGACAAGACACAGTGAGGACAGGACCACAGCGACGACAGCCAGTGCAGTGGTGTGGTCGTACGTGCTGGGGGGATGCTCCACAGGGAGTGAGAGGCCATGACATCTCTCTCCATGATATCCCGGCTGGCATCTGGGCAAGAAGGAAAGAGTTTTAAAGGATGGTGATGACCAAGCACAGCAGGGCATCGAGTTCCTCCTGCTGTGAGGCAACAGAGCTCTTCGCTCAGCCTTGAGCCAGAATTTTGCTCCCACCCTGAGCCAGGAGGTCTGGTGTCACCTCTGTCCCCCGGTATACTGTTAAATTCTCTTGCCCTGCATCCCTGTCCCAAGCACCAAATGAAGATGGCCAGCAAGGTCAAGTCCTTCCCCACACTGCAAGGCATTAGGGTCCAGCCTCTTCCCAATCTCCTACAAAGCGGCGCCAGGCTGGTTGGACCACCTCTGGGTGACAGCCAGCCCCGTCGCACACAGAGGTCAGACACAATAGGGGCCACAGGAGGGGACCGCTGAGACCCCAGCAGGCAAGACATGGCTCCTGGTTGGCACACAGAAGCAAGGCATACAGCCATCTGTGTCACAGCAAGCCAAGCCACCTGCTTTCTGTGAGGGGAAGTCCTGCGCAAAGAAGTGGGGAACAACTTCCAGCCATGGGCTCAGCACTTCCCTCCTAGCAGGTTTCCCCAATGCTCTCAGCCAGCAAGAGCAAACAGAGAAGTGCAAACTCCCTCCAGGCTCAGGAGGTTACTCATATAACAGAAATAAAGTTCTTCCTCAGAGCTGTGAGGCAGCCACCCAAACCCTCCTTGTGAGTCAACGCCTACTGCTGTGATCAGCTGAATAAACTCAACACCACGGACCCTTGGCAGATCTGGGCAGAGACATGAGCTTATCTCCAACACATGGACTCAATCCAGACCTCCCGCCTGGCTCGCTGCGCTTAGCGAGAGCTCCATTAATACCACGCCAAACACCAACATTACCTTCCACCCCAGGCAGCTGCCTTGGGCACAGTGCAGAGACAGAGCTGCCCCTTAGTGGTACTCAGGGACCTGGGCTGGGCATCCTCCTCAGCTTGCCCCAAACCCTGGGACCAGCCAGAAGCAGCAAAGATCTAAAAGACATTGTGCAGCACAGGTGGCATGGCCAGAGCCAGCCAGCTGCAGCCCAAGCACTCCCCAGACACTGAAAGCAGCGACTGTATGAGCAAATGCAATTGAGTGACACTAGGTGCCACAGGTCCTCTTTACCAGAGGGGAATTGAGGCCTCCCAGAGCCCCAGGAGGGGCAGACAGCCTGGGCTTGCTTCCGATGAGAAAAGCTGCCAGTCCCAGCTCCAGAACTGCTGCCTTCTGGATTCCAAGGGGTAGTGGGCCGCTAATCCTAAATCCATCCAGGGGAAGGCCCAGAGAGGGGTCATCAAGCTTAAGAGCCCCAGGTGGCTCCTGACACAGAGCCTGGATCAGAGCATTGGGTCAGCACCCTTCCTGCTTGCCCTTGCTCCAAGACTTCTTTCAGCCCCAGGAAGCCAGTGATTGCTCAGGAGGAGCTCAGGAAGGGGACATTCAGCTGTCCTAGCCTGATGAAGGCAGGAACCAGGGAAGGACTGTGCTCCACAGCACACCAGGTCACCAGCGAAAGCCAATCCAGCAGAGATCTTCTCTTACTGGCAGTCCTGATGCCCCTGCTCAAGGGCCCAGCAACGACCTCGTGACAGCTTCCAGGCACAGCAAAACTAAGCTGTTCAAGGAGCTGTGCGGATCCTGATCCCTGCAGATTCTGGGGCACGAGAGCTTCTGGACATTATAAGCCAGGGAGCTATTATCTTTCCCAGGCTCCGGGCACAGGGCTGGGAGGCTCAGGGGATTGCCAGCAAGGACCAAAGCCTCTTATATCCACCAGCTCAAACCCTGCCCACGTCAGCGGGGATCAAACTTGCACCCACCGGATATTACCCAAGGTAGCAGTGGCTGGATCCAGGTGTCCCCGCAGTGAGCAAACTGCTTTCTCCTCCACTTGCCATATCTGGTCCCTGCTCTCTACCTGCAGCCCAAGGGGGTAGGAGAAGGAGCATGCTGCTTCTTATGGGGGTACACAGTCCCATCCTTCACCGAGGCCAAGGAAAAGCTCAGACGTGGCTTTGGCAGGCTGCCCCCCAAGGCACTACCTCGGATGCAGCCTCTGCCTGCTCTTCAGGTGCCACGGCAGAGATCACCACTCACACCACTACATCCCAGCATGGGGATGCAGTGGGACGAGAGAGGGAACGAGCCCGTTCTCAATCCCCAGCTCTCACCCCTCGACAGTGCCACTGCACAAGAGCCAGCTGCCTCAAACAGAACAAGGGGCCACTTGGTACTGTGCCCTTGCATGGGAAGCCAGCTTTTTCATAGGTGCAACCTCTGCTTCTGACCTCTGTCGCCCAGGATGTGACCAGCCAGTCCTGGGAGCTACCCCAGCTCTTGGCAGGGGCTCACAGCAATGAGGGACAGGGCAAAGGACATTGGGTTTTTGAGCCAGGAGAGGATCTCTCAAGCCAGATCTGAAGAAGGCCTCAGATGTGAGACTTGCAGCCCATTTCAGTGGGCCAGGTGCTTGACTATCACTCTGGACCCAAGCCACCAAGATCAAGGGAAGCCAACTTTTGGACACCTACCAGGCAGCTGAACCCTGGCAGGCAAGTTTGCATTCTCGCAAACTCCACTGCGGCAGGAACTTGCTGCACTGACGCCCTGCAGGCCTGACGCAGAGCTCTCGTGGGGCAGGGGCCGCTGTGGAGCGCTCCAAGCCTCAGGCCATGGGGGATTTCGGTAGAACTTGTTCAAAAGACAGAAACCAGGCTAGAGGAGAGGCCAAAGTTTCCTGCTGTTCTCCAAGTGACACAGCTCAAGAAGTACACAGAATGCTAAGTCAGAGCTGTCTCCACACGGACGGGGAACGTGCACTAAAAATATCTCCTTTGCAGAATTCAAGGAACAATGACTAAGGTTTCCCTGGGACAGGCACGCAGCAGTAACTCACATGCAGGATGGAGCGCCCAGCTCTTTGATGTATTTGCATTCACCATGAATACAGAAATCCTTGTACTTTCGCAGGCACGGGTCTCTCTTCTTCCCCAGGCCTTTTCCTTTTCTTCTTTTATTCCCGTTCCCCTTTTTCTTGGGAGTAACCAGGCCTTGAGGCTTTGACAAGAAAGCAACTGGAAAACAATTTCAAAAGGAGAAAACACTGATCACCCCAATTTCTCATTTGAAAGCAAAAGAGAACAGTAAACCCTAGACTACTGTAGCCAGCTCTGCCCTGGCAATTGTTCAGCCTTTTGTTCAGCAATCTGCCCCAAGCAGAGGTTTTTCCATTTTTTTTCCAGATTTTCACAAATATCATGGCCTTTCTGATTCATAACAACAATTCTAAAGGAAATAAGGGAACAAGTAACTAAGAAATCAGGGAGAAAAAAACAGGGCTTTATGCATCTCAAATGTTGCTATTATATACACCAGTTTCCACTGGACACAGAAGACCACTAATTGCGTCTTTATCTAGCTTTTATTTCCCTGATCAGCATGGTCTTTTGTAAGAGCTCATTCATGACTCTGATGGACTCTCCTTCCTGTGGTTACAATGAGGGCTTGCACACAGGACAAGAGCAGGATTAAAAGAGCAAGCCCAGGTCAATTTTTGGTCTTGCAGAACTGAGCAGATGGCAAAGAAAGCCTTCTCATGAATTATAAAGGTATTTTTTAGTTGTAGCGCAGAAATCGGTGGGTTTTGGTGCAAGGCCAGCTCCCTGCTGAATTGGCTAAGCAGGCCGGTGGGAACCAGAGCGCCAAGCTCCTTAGATGCTCCCCACAGACCCAAAGCCAAACCAGCAACATTACTGGAATAGTTTAAGACGGACAGATGCCAAAAATCAACCCCAGCTTGATCTCGCAAGGTGCCACAAAAGTTACTCACTGCTTGGAGAGACACTTTCTGCCGCTACAATCATGGCATTAAGAACTGCAGCGAGGCTGGGGAAATACAAACTAAATCACGTGCTGCACAGAGGGAACAAGGGGGAAAGGGCAACAGAGTCTAACCTGGCAAGTTTTAACATGCCTAATGCTTTCTCAACAACTTCCTCACATAACCAAGCCCTCAGCGTACGTAACCTTCCTCCCCATGCAAGCACCTCTCGTGCCACAGTGCACCATTAGTTTGCATGCCTAGGAAGTTATTTCACAACTTCAACATCCTTCAAGCTAGGCCTGGAGAAAAATGATACTCCAGGAAACTCTGTGGCTTGGAGAAACCCCCAGATGCGGGTGAGATGCAGGGCCCCAGGACTTGCCCCAGGCTGGCAGCAGTAGCTGTCCCCTCCCCTGTGGCTTATCTCCCTGCCGCAGCCAGTGGCACAGAGGGCTCCTCGCAGACATGTGCTATCAGAGGGACAGGAGCGGTGCTGCTGACCCCTTGGCCTCCCTCACTGCTGCCCTTCTCTGGCATTGACCCTTGTCCCTGGGACTCTGTCCCGTGTCCTCCAAGCAGCATGTCCGCAGAAGATTTGGGTGATCTTGCCAGTAGGAAGGGGGGGAAACTGGTGCAGTCCAGGTGGGCAGGGGGATGCCATAGATGGCCCCCCACACAGACACCCCAGCCACAGGGGAAAAGACCTGCTGTCCCCAGGGCTGGAGCACAGAAAGAAAGGTGCCTCTGGCACAAAAGGCAGATTCCTCTGACTATAACTTAGCAATGCTGATTTGGCAACAGATAACCCCCACCCCAAAAACTAGAGCCCCATCAGTCTATCCTGCTGCAGTCCTCCCTCCTCACAGCCCACACCTGCGAGATCATTTGCTCTAGGGTGGGATCTCCTCATTGGAGGGATACCTGGAGGACCAGAGGGCAGATGGGAGCATCTCTTTGCTCTCCTACTGCATCTCCCATCAAGAAAAGGAGCATTTCCCGAGGGCAGAATACCCTCAGACATGAGTGATCAGCCTGGTTTTGCAAAGCCAGGTGCTAGCATCGCAGTCTGACAGGACCAGACAGCCAGAAAGCAAAGAGGAAAAATGAGAAAAGATGGGAGGGTGAACTACACAGAGTAGAGCTCAATCCTCCTGGTGCTAGGCTACCAATCTCAGCATGCCACACCTGCAAGGCCAGATAGGGCTCAGTCACCCTTCCCACGCTGTGATGGGTCCCATCTCACCCCATGGGCACGACCCCCCACGAGAGGCACCAGGACATGCTCTGGTCCCAACCCAGGGGAGAGGAGCCAAGCATGAATGCACAGAGCCTAACAGAGAGGCAGTGTCCCCAACGCCTCCGTAGAAGGGACCGCTGGGTGACTAACCCCAGCTAGGTATGAAGAGCAGCCGTGTGTGGGCGACGGGTGAGTCACAGTGGTCCCCTCCCCAGCAGCCACCATTGCCACTATCTGGAAGGCAGCATAGTCCAAACAGGCATACGCACCCAGCCCAGGACTGAACACCTGTGGGCAAGGGGTGCCACATGCATCAGAGGGCTCTCCCTTCCTGGGGCACAGCTCTCACTTGTAGGGCACGACCCAGGGACTGTGGGATCATGGCTCCTGCCCCCTTGCTTGGGAGCCCCTGGGACTGCCATGCTAGGGGCACCAGGGACACCCCCCTCAGGCAAAGCTGCCAAAACCCAACTGCCCTGACCTATAGCTACAAGTCCTGGGCTCTTGCCTGCTGCCCAGGGCTCCCACCCTGCCCCACACCCAGGGCTGGCACCATGGGGCAGGGACACCTTTGGGTGCCACAGCATGGGGCAAGGCAAGGTGCACATGCAGGGTGTTGGGGTACTGGGAGCTCTCAAGCAGTACCCTCGTGCCCAGCCCAGGCATTGGATCCAGCCCACTGTCACCCAGACGGCGATGGTGGCCTCCCCTGAGGCAGCCCACAGAGAGCTAGAGCTGCCACCCAGGAGCACAGGGCTGCTCCAGCCTCACATGTTCCCCCTTGAAACTGGGCCAAGCCTGCCCCCGCCAGCTCCAGATCTGCACCAACACCCAGTGAGCATTTGGATTCAAATCAGGCTTGGCACCGAACCCACACTGCCTCCGGCCCCAAACTGGACCAGGACCCAAAGCAAATCCATATCTGAACCAAGCCGAGCTCTCCCTGCCCAGACTGGGATCTCAACCCGAAGCGGGTCCCCCTCTCTCCTTGTCCATATCCGACGCCACTCGGGTCC